TTATTAAATCAGTATATTGTTTTAGGTAACTTGCCATTTTAGCAATATTGAACCTTCTATCCCAAGGACAAAGATATCTTTTTATTTATTTAGCTTGTCTTTAGTTTTGAGTAAATTAGTCTTTCACCCTTTTGGTTATGTTTATTTTTTTTATCTTTGATGTATTTTGCTTTTCTTGATAATATGGGTATATTTTAATTTCCTCATGGAGTAACACTAGTGTATAGAAGTACAACTGATTTTTGTGTATCAATTTTTTGTTTTATGACTATTGAATTCATTGCCTGCAGTGTTTTAGTTTGTGTATTGTTAGGATCTTCTACTTGTAAGGTCAGGTCTTTTGTGAATATAGTTTAACAACTTCCTTTCCAATTTGGATGCCTATGATTTCTTTATTGCTTAACTGCTTTGCTGGAATTTCTACTCCTTTGTTGACGAGAAGTGTTGAAATTGGATATTCTTGGCCTGTTACTAATTTTTTTCTAAAAAAGTACCTGACTTTATCTTATGTTTTTTCAAAGAATCCATCCTTCCTATTTCTCCCCCCATTTATAATAGCACTTGTAATTTACAAAGCTCATATATGTATTGAGTGAATGAAACATGAACAAATGCCTGCATAATCTCACCTTCATCTTTTCTTACTTCTTATTTCTCATTCAAGCATTACAAATTTTGTCTTGCTTGTATTTCTTGGAAGCCATCAGTTACTCTTTCATTTGTTTACTTTTTATGCATCTTTTACATCCTTGCGACTTTGCACAGCTGTTCTGTCAGCTTCAACAATGTTTCTCAACTTTACACGGTGTACTTACCATTTTTCATGTCTGTTCATGTACTGTGCTCTTTACTCCCTCAGACAAAAATAAAACCATATTCTGTTTTACTTTCAGTGTGAACATATTTTTCTTCTGGCATGTATAGGCTGGCTTCTTAAATAGTTTCTAGGAAATTTCTGAGGTTTATATAACTAAATTCAGTGAAATTAAAGGTCGGCGAATGGGAGCAAGTAGTAACATTGGTAATCTGAGAGAAAAAGTTGGTAAATTCTTTTATTTTTTTTTTCTGATTAACCAAGAAAATAAAATGCATGTTAGGAATATAGTTCTTACCTCTAAACAGGGGCTGGCTGTTTTATAAATTTTAACTCTTCTTGGAGCCCCACGCTGTTATTTTTTTTTTCCTGAACATCAGTAGTGATTTGTTGAGTGCACAAAAAATAAATGTGCTTCATTAGGATTAAAATTGGAATCAGCAACTGACAGGGGAGTTGGACTGTGGAATATATGTGTATGTATACATTATGAAAAGAATGCAGAAGGATAGGTATAATAGAAGGAGTTTTACCTTCTTTGTCCATTTTTTTTTAGTAATAGGAATTTTTTATATAGTCTGGATATTAATTCATATTCATATATATGCTTTGCAACTACTTTTTCTGCTGTGGGTTACAGCAACTTTTTTCATGCGATTTTAAAACTATGTACTATTATTGACACTGATAGTGTACTAGTATTATTAGTATTTTAACTACTTTATTTTAAAGTAATACATGAATTAAAGAATGTAAGAGTACATGACTTATGGGCCCTCCTTGGTGGCGCAGCGGGTTAAAGCACAGCACTGAGAATCTAAAGCCGCTTGAGAGGTGACCACATGGTGTGGAGTGGCAGACCTCTCCTGACCTGCCTGCTGCTCCCCTCAGCAGTGTACTTCGTTGATCTGCCTGTTCTACTCCCCACTCTGTCTCTGGCGAAGCCTCTCGCCACCCCTGAGCCTCTGGCCGGTACCCCAGTTCTGTATGCACAAATAAATAATTTTTTTTTTTTTTAAAAGAAGACCCTAAAGCCACTTCAGCATGAGTTCCATCCCGGCCAGCCAGGGAGGTAATGCACATGGCGAGGCAGACCTCTCCAGACCCATCCGCTGCTCCCCTCAGCAGTGTACTTGGTCAGTTGGCCTGTTCTGCTCCCCCACTTCCGTCCCTGGTGAATCCTCTCACCACCCCTGTACCTCTGGCCTGTACCCCAGTTCTGTATGAATAAATAAATAAATATTAAAAAAACAAGTACGCGGCTTATAATTCCATTGATACAAAAAGTCTCCAATAAAAACAATTACAAAGAAAATTGAAAAAAGTGGTAATGTTCAATCTTTATGGCTAGGACATAAGTATTTTCTATATTTTTTGTTTTAAATATTTCACAACTAAAACATTTTCAGTTATTTCAATCTCTGTCTTTCTGCACATGTCCAGTCCCCTAATCTTCTGTAGTGCCCTTCAGGTAAAGTTAAAGTACAACAATGCAGTGCAATACAGAAGACTGATTTGTCTGTTTCTAGAATCATTCGTATATTCTCAGGCATTTATGTTTGAGTAGAATCCACCCCTCCCTACTACACAAATGTAGTATACTAAATATATTCTGTACCTGTTTTTTATTGAAACATTTGGCATATCTTTTGAGATTGTTCCATATCAGTGTATGCACCAGTTGGCATTCCTTTTTGTGGTTGCTTTGTATTGCACTATGTTGTTGTACTTTGTTACCTCACTAATTCACTACTGAAGAACATTTAGAGTGTTGTCAATTTTTCACTGTCATCTAGTGAACATTCTTGTGTTTAAATCATTGCATACACTTGTGTGACTGTGATTAAATTACTGGAGGTAAAAATTGGTGGGTCAAATGTATAATCTTAGCAAATTGTTGGAATAAAATATATTAACATGATATGAGAGTACCTTACTTCACTCTTACTTCATTCTGTTAGAATTTTTACTCCTCTGAATTTGTGCTCTCTCTACTTGATACAGAGGAACTGTCAAAAGAAAAATGTATGTTTTAGTATTATTTTGTTAGCATTTTCCTTTTATTAAACTTATTAACTTGAAATGTTGAAATACTTTGTAGTATTTCAGCTCTTCATACTGTGTTGAGGTTATGCAGATAAATGTAAATCTAGTCCTGAAAGTGTTAGTTTTCACATAAGATGTTAATTACTTGATATTTAAAAACCTTTTTAAAGATTTATTTATGCATAGAAGAATTGGGGTATAGGCCAGAGGTGCTGGCAGAGGGTGAGAGTATTCACCAAACACAGAGTGGGGAGCAGAACAGAAATACACTAAAATATACTGCTGAGGGGAAGAGTGAACACAATAGAGAGATCTGCTGTGCCATGTGGGTCAGCCTCCTGGCCAGGGATCAAACTCATGCTGCAGTGGCTGCAGATAGCCTCATGATTCTGAGACTTAACCCCTTGTGCCACCAGGGAGGCGCTGACATTTAGAAACTTTTATACTTGATCTGTGGAGATGGTTGATGCTTTTTTCTCTTTCTAGCTAGTCAGAGTAGCTTGTTTCAATATGCTTTTAGGGAAAAGTATTTGAAACTGAAAAGCACTCTTTCTGTCCAATTTATTATATAAAGCGGCATAACTTTGATACCAAAAGTGAGTACATCATGAGAAAAGAAAATTGGAGGTCATTTCAGTTTAATAATGCACAAATCTTTAAGTAAAATAACATGCAATACTAACAAGAAATGTGCTATGAAGCCATGAAAAGACATGCAGGGACCTTAGATGTGAAAGTCCATTATCTGCTTAAAACTGAAAAGCTGTATGATCATCTCCTTCAGGAAGAACATTGAATAAAAGTCAACATTATCTGTGATAAAAGCATTGCCAAACTAAAAATTGAAGGTAACCTTAACCTGAAAAGAGTCATTGATCAGAAACTTAACTGTTTTACTTAGTGGTTAAGCCTTAGTAACAGTTTCTTCAAAATCAGCGGGAAATGTTATATAAACAGTCTTAACCAGTGCCATTAAATAGTAAAAGAAAAAATGAGTTATGGATAAAAAAGGAATAAGAATAGCAAGACAGAATAATCACTGTTCTCTGATACTGAGAAATTTAGAACTGGCAATAGAATATTAGATGTAATGTGTATATGTGGGTTTGTTTGTGAGTGATTGCATTTTCTAAATTGGGTGCACCAACTTATGTGGCATTCCACATTCTCTTTAAACAGTTAAGCTCTGTGTTTTACACCTTTATCTCAGAAGACCCAAAGGATAAAGATACCAACTACAAACTTACCTGTCCTAAGGTTGTGGGGTGGTGGTACATAAGAGCATGGAGAACCCCCAATTCATGTAATAAATAACTTAAATAACTTACTTATCCTTAATTTATAAGACTGTCTGATGCTTGACTTTTAAAATGCATTTTTGCACTTGTCTGAGCAAAAGCCCAATTAAGTTTTGGGCTTTTGTTGCCTAGGACTTTGTTTTTGTGTATGTGTGAGAGCTATGCTTAGGTTCTTACCTAAATTCTTAGAATAATCTTTTGTGAGGTGGTGGTGGGGAGAGGGAAATGTGGAATATCTGGTCACACTGGATTCACAATGTAGTTGAATGCCTAGCACAGACAAACAGAATTTCTTCCATAGTGCAATCAGAGGACCATAAGCGTCCTAAAGTAAGCCTTAGACCTAAACTAGGTTATTGTTAAGAACTTATAGCTCTAGAAATAAAACTTGAGTATATTTCTGGGTTCAAAGAAAGTAAAGTAAGTTAATATGATAGGAAGGTGGAGAAACAGATTAAAGATTTAAGATAGCAGCTCTAAAATGTAGGTAGATAATACTTATTAAGAATTTAGTCAGAAATTCTTTGCTTGTAGATGTTGAATATAGTGTTAGTAAATAAATACATCAAGAGCAGAGATTTCAGTGCCTGAAAGATTTGGCCATCCTGGGTCTGCCTTTTACTAGCATTTTAGCCTCTGACAGATTGTTTAACCTCTCAAAGCCTCTCATCACATATAAAATGGGGTGTTGTAAGGATCAAATGAGATAATGTTAAGTTACATATGCACAGTACTTGGCATATCATAAGACTCTGATACTTGATATTTTATACTGGCTTGCAAAGTATCTGTTTTGCTGTATAAAAGTTAGGAATATTAAAATATATTTTTGTTATTTTAAGGAAATTCGCAATGAGTCCCATGACTACCCTCATAAAGTGGCCAAGTTTCCAGAAAACAGAAATCGAAACAGATACAGAGATGTAAGCCCATGTAAGTACTTTTGGGTTTGTGTGTACATTGTTGGTCTGTTTTAGGAGGCAGGTTTGGGGTCAAAGTTGAGTGCTATAATTTGCTTTCATACTGATACAGTCTTCAAAGGAAAATTTCAGGGCATAGACTTAAGAAAAGAAAATAAATTACCCATAGTTATTTCATCTTTAAAACACAGCCACCATTATTTGGTGTATTTCTAACCAACTTTTTATCTTATCCTTGTTCATAATTTTTCTTTCTGTAAAGTAATTGTAATCATTAATGCATTTATTGTATTCATATGTGCACATTTCATTTTACTCTATAACCTTTATAAGTATTACTTAAAATATTTATTGTGTGTTATTCCCCTCCCCCAACTAACAAAAACAGAAAATTTCTTACAACAAGGGAAAAATTCATGACTTAAAAAAATTGGGTATTGATATTCTTTTGGTATTTTTATCTGTATCTGTATGTATATGTTTTTTAAATTCCTGTCCCTCAACATCCTTTCAAACAGTGATTCTGGTGTGGCTGTGTGTTGAGGGAATGGGAGTGCGGACTCACTGGGTCCAATACTTAGACTCCCTTCATTACATAACCTTCCCTCCCCACTCCCATCTCTGCCCCACTGACTGAGAAAACTGGTTGAGAATTATTGAACCTAAGAAAACTGTTTCTAGTCATTATCATGAGTTTTTGAAGACAGGATTTTCCAGTTGTACATCTAACTGTGTTACCTTTAGTTTTATTTAAATTGATAATTTATCTTGATAATTGTACATTTGCATCAGTTGTAAGAAATAATACTTAGAGATCTCATAAATCCTTTACCCAGTTTCCCCCAGTAGAAACATGTGACTGCAGTACAGTGAGTCAACAGGAAAATTGACACTGATAACAATTCATGTGGATTTCATGGGTTTTATGTATACTCACTTGTAGACATGTTTAGTTCTGTACAATTTATCACATGTATAGATTTGTGTGATCTTGACTACAGTCTGGAGAATGACAAGTGGATTGGAAATACCATACTACTTTTCTATATCACAGTCCTTTACTCCATGTCTCTTTCCAAAGCTATGATGTTGCCTTTAATTTTTATGCAATTGTTGGTTTTGCTAAATCACAATTAAATCCCAAGTTAACTTTATCTAAATGAAAGTACTATTAAAAGTTGGAACTGAGGGCCTCTTCCTGGTGGCGCAGTGGGTTAAAGCACTGCATTATGAAGCTCTTTGAAGCCACTGCAGCACGAGTTCTATCCCCGGCCAGAGAGCTGACCCACATGGTGTGGCAGACCTGACCTACCCACTGCTATCCTCAGCAGTGTATTTCACTGTATCTGCTTGTTCTGCTCCCCATTCTGTCTCTGGTGAATCCTTTCAACCACCACACCTCTGGACCATACCCCAGTTCTGTAAGCATAAATAAACAAATCTTTAAAAAACAAAAAATTGGAACTGACTTTAAAAAAGTAGTCATTTACAAATTAAATTATCCTCAGCCATCCAGGCTGACCTGGATATCATCTGCAAATAAGGACAGTTTTACTTCTTCTTTCCCTGTTTGGATGCCTTGTATGTGTTTGTCCTGTCTTATGTGCTGGCTAGAACTTCCAATGTTATATTTAGGAGTAGTGGTGATAGTGGACACCCTTGTCTTGTTCCTGATCTCAAGGGAAAGGACTTTCAGCTTTTTTCCGTTGAGGGTAATATTGGCTGTGGGTTTGTCATATATGGCTTTTGTCATGTTGAGGTATGTTGCTTCTGTTCCGAGGATTTCAAGGGCCTTAAACATAAATGGGTGTTGGACTTTGTCGAATGCCTTCCCTGCAACTATTGATAGGATTATGTGTTTTTTATTCTCGGTTGATGTGATGGATTACATTAATTGATTTTCTATTGTTGAACCATTCTTGTGCTCCTGGGTTAAAGTCCACTTGGTCATGGTGCATTATTCTTTTAATGCATTGTTGGATTCTGTTGGCTAAGATTTTTGCTGAGGATTTTTGCATCGGTGTTCATTAGGGAGATTGGTCTGAAGTTTTCTTTTTTGTGTTTACTTTGTTAGGTTTTGGTATTAGTGTGATGTTGGCTTCCTAGAGAGAATGTGGTAGTTTTTCTTCTTTTTAGATTTTTTGGATGAGTCTGTGTAGAATAGGCACTAGTTGTTTTCTGAATGTTCAGTAAAATTCATTTGTAAATCCATCTGGTCCTGGGCTTTTATTTTGGGGGAGGGTTTTGATTACTTCTTCAATTACCTTGCTTGTAATTGGCCTGTTTAGTTGTTCTATTTCTTCTTTATTTAGCTTTGGGTGGTTGTAGAGTTGTAGGAATTTGTCCATTTCTGCTAAATTGTCAAACTTGTTTGCATATAGTTGCTCATAGTATTCTCTGATTATTCTTTTGATTTCTACTGGATCTATTGTGATTCTCTTCTTTTGTTTATGATTCTGTTCATGTGTGCTTTCTCTTGCTTTTTCTTTGTGAGCCTGGCTAGTGGCCTGTCTATCTTGTTTCTTTTTTTGAAGAACCAGCTTTTGGTTTCATTGATTTCTTGGACTGTTTTCCTAACTTCCATTTCATTTATTTCTGATTTGACTTTTATTGTTTCCTGTCTTCTGCTGGCTTTTGGGTTATTTTGTTGTTCTTTTTCCAGCTCTTTAAGGTGGGACATTAGGTTGTTTCTTTGAGTTATTTCTTGCTTCCTTATGTGAACCTGTAATGATATATATTTTCCTCTTATAACTGCTTTTACTGTATCCCATAAGTTTTTGGAGATTTGTGTCGTCTTTGTCATTCTTCTCCAGGTATTTTTTGATTTATTCTTTGATCTCCTCATTGATCCAATGGTTCTCCAGTAGAGTGGGTTTCAGTCTCCACGTGGAAGGTAGGTTTCTTGTCTTCCTCATATGGTTTATTTCTAGTTTGATTCCTTCGTGGTCGGAGAATATAGTTGGTATGATTTCGATCTTAGTGTATATATTGATATTTATCTTGTGAGCCAGTGTATGGTCAGTCCTAGAGAATGACCCATGTGGGTTTGAGAAAAATGTGTACTCAGATTTTGGGGGTCGGTATTCTATAGATGTCTGTTAGACCCATGTTGTCCAGGTCCTTGTTCAGAGCTTTAGTGTCTTTGCTTATTTTTGTCATGTCAATCTGTCCATTGTGGGGAGTGTTGTGTTGAATCAGTCTCCTACTATGTATATATTTTCTCTGATACACGTTTTCATAGATGACAGTAGTTTCCTGATACATTTTGGTGCTCCTTCATTTGGTGCATATATGTTGATGATTGTTATGTCTTCTTGTTGTATTGTCCCCTTAATCATAACGTAGTGGCCTTCTGTGTCTCTTTTAACCTTTTTTAGTTTGAAGTCTATTCATCAGATATAAGTATAGTTGTTCCTGCCTTCTTTTTTAATCCATTTGCTTGTGGAACTGTTTTCCATCCTTTTATTTTCAATCTGGTTTTATCTTTTGCAGTTAGATGTGTTTCCTGCAGACAGCAGAATGTTACTCCATCCTGCAATGCTGTGTCTTTTTACTGATGTGTTTAAGCCATTTGCATTTAGAGAGAATATTGATATACTGGCACCTACATTTGCCATTTTGGTCCTTCTGTATTATTATTCCTTGTTTTGAGCTGTTCTTGTTCATTCTTCTGTTGGATTTGGTTTGAGGGTTTCTTGTAGTATTTTTTGGAGTGGGGGTTTAGTCATGACAAAAATGTAGAGTTTCTGTTTGTCTGAAGATGTCCTTATTCTTTCTTCATAGAAGAAGGAGAGCTTCGCAGAATAGAGTATTCTTGGTTGGCATTTAATGCTTTTGAGTTTGTTGAGTATGTCCCTCCACTCTCTTATGTTTGTCGTGATAATTCTGAATTCTCTATCTGGTAAGCTGAGCAGTTCTTCTATTTCTTTGGTGGTTTCTGCTGACTGATCTTTTTGTGGTGAATTTTCCCCCTGTGGACTTGCTTGAGTTTGAGTTTGTCTTCTTTTCCCTGTCATGTATTTTCTACTACTTTCTATTTGTTGAGACACGGTGTTGCTATTATTGACTGGCATTCCTTCTGGCTGTTCTTTTTGGGGTTGCAGAGGGACTTCCAGACACTTCAGTTGTGGAGGGTATTCTGAGCCTTGCTTTGTTTCAATATCTCCTGTTTTTCCAGTCCCTACTGTGTGGAATTATGTCTCTTGTCTCTGCCAGTGACAGTCAGGGGTCTCTTATGGTGTTTAGCTTCTTCTGGTAACTCATTGAGTCCTTGTCCCTGGAAGGTGCCTGTTGGTCTTTGTAGCCTTCTGATGTCCCAGGTTCCCTCTATGCTTGCATGCAGGGGTGGGTAGTGGGGTGCATTAGAAGTGTTGCAGCTGGGCCTGTGGTGAGCCAGTCACTGGTTTTGTTTATTTTCTAAGCATTGTGAGCCTTGCAAGGCAGTGCCTTACTGGCTCACATGTCTTCCAGTCACTGCTGTTCATTAACACCTTGAGTCCTAGTTCTGCATGCCCCAAGTTGTGCAGGCTGCCAGTCCTTCCTCGAGACCTCCAGGGCTCTTTGTGCCCACTCAGAGAAGTCTCTTCCTGAGCAGTCTTTCCCTACCACTTGGGGGAGTGTTAATGGGCCTGTTTTTGATTCAGTCTGTTTCTCCCACCCCCCTTTTATCACAGGGGCTTTGTGAACTTGCTGGCCCTGCCTTAGTGACTAATGTCGGGAACAAGCCTCCAGGCCTATGCTATGGGGGTGGGTGAAAGGGTTGCAAGCCTTGCAGGTGCCCCAGTCACCAGATCACCAGATTTTCCTCCCCACTTCCCGGACTCTCTGTGCCCACTTGCGCAGTCTTTCCCACAGCTTAGGTTCCACTCACCAAGCCAAATGAGCAGGAGACCTCCGTCTGCAGCACTAGAATCTGGGTGCTCCCCAGATCAGTTACTCTTATCCTGTCTATGGCCCTTCTGGATAGGAGTTCCCTTATCGGAACTCCCCAATCACTGATTCTTCCTCAGTTAT